ACAGTTTATAAATTGTGCAACATGAGAAATTAATTCAATTTCTGTTGTTATCTGAGAAATTGTTATCACAAAATTCTGCAAAAGTAAACCTCATCTCATTTTAGATCAACAGAATTTTAAAATGTGAGAAATTGCACTCGCTTTGAAAAGAATAGTCTTATTCAACCCTGGTCTCCATTTCTCCACCATAAAAAACTTGTTAAAATAACCTACTAAGAAAACTGCCTATGTCTTTGAAGACACAATACTGATCCCATTTTTAAAGTTTATGGTATTGCTCTTTAACTTTATATATTCATTGGCATCTTCCAAACATTAACCACATGTTCCTTATTGTTTTAAGTTTTATTTTCCTTAATGTTGTATTCATTTTAATTAACATGCAGTAAATAGTATAACTAGTTGCTATGTATAAAGGAATCATTTAAGATTAAAAAATTGCAGCAAAAAGAAATTCTTGGTTATTGAGAAAACAATAATACTGTTTACTCTACATATTCATGCTTCCTATTGTTACCTAGTACCTCAATGAAGAAGTGTATAGGGCCTTCCGATTACTCATTCAGCATCCTATGTTTAAGTCTAAATAAATATTTCTATCATTGTGAAAACCACATTTTCATTCCTTGCTGAAGTTCAAGCCATATTCTGCTATTGCAAAAACAAGAAAAAGGCAATAAACTTTTTCTGATCAAAGTTGTCTATTTTTCTGGATAGAAATCCTTGTATAATCCTTGACAAAGCCAGTATTGTACCCTTCATTGCATATTGGGGGAGTTAAGAAATCAAATCCTTCAAGTGTGGCAGCATTGAGATCAGAATGAAGACTTGCAGCTAAAGAATAGACTCCATTGTCCAAACTGCCATTGACAGTTGAAGCCTGATTTTGATGCTTACATTATCATAGAATTAGTTGGTGAATGCTGGAATAAGAAATAGAAACTTATTTTTGTTCTGTAATTATTCATTGTACAGTGCAAAATTGAAGGTGTAGAAAGGTGGTTTGGCCCAGGAATGTCTAAATGCCTTCAGTAAGATTCAGAACATTATAATTAGAACTGCCAAAGCAACAGTGACTTGGATATATCAAATTGAGAAGAGGGCTGAATCTTAAAGTCAAGAGGATGCACTATCCTCCCGATTTGTTCTCCATATGGCAAGCAAAGGAGGCTTTCCAAAGGAGCCTTGGGCACTCAGTTCCCAAACAGAGCCATAAGGTGACAACATCATATAGACCAAGGAGAAATCTATGTTGAAATCACTTTGGAGAGTTCAACACAGTTGACTTCAACAAAAATAGATCTTCCTGAAGGAAAAACTGTAATATTGAACAATAGGCTTTCCTGGGCTGAAACTCAGATATGAGATTTATCTGAAAGGCCCACTGGTTAGAATAAAGGAAAGTTTAGTGCCTTTAGCATTCTAGAAGCTTAAGATGACATGGTATCAGCTTTTCAAGATATACCAAGTCAGGAATCAGAGGTCAATCAAGGTAGAATTGGTTTCAGTTTCTTTTTCATTCTTTTCCCTTTCTAGGTCCAACATGCTATTTCCGCTCTCTTAATGTTTTCTCCACTCCAACTCTCTGCATTCCGTTATACATGGAACCAATTGAAAAACAGAGGTGTGTATTCTTAAAAAGCAGGGTGGGATGAAGTGATAAGTTTTGATTTTTGTGATTTCCAATGTGATGGCCATCCATGTGATGGCCAAACAGAAAGAGAAGCAGATTTTAATGGCTATTTATTCCAATATACTGTACAGCTACAGTATAGGGGGTACCTTGCTCAATAGTAGTAACTGTGAGAGGGACCTCGGAGTCCTAGTGGACAATCACTTAAATATGAGCCAGCAGTGTGCTGCAGCTGCCAAAAAGGCCAACACAGTGCTAGGCTGCATTAACAGAGGGATAGAAAATTATACATCTCCTACATTTTATTCTACTACTATTATTTCTGCATTACTTGCAATAATTGTTATTAATGCTATTATTAATAGCATATAGGTGTTGCTTGAGCAGGCTCCGCAGGATTGTCTGGGACACTACATATCCAAAGCAGAACATCCAAATTCAGTCATAGTTTTGTTCCATACAGTATTAACCTTGTGAACTCTCAAGCTTCCTCTTTCTGCTATGTATTCAAGATGGACAGTGATTAATATTTATATATATTTATATGCAAGGTGTAGGTATATACATATGTTGTATATAGCATGTTTACATGTGTGTTATGTATGTGTACTTTTGAGAGCAGACAACAGAATTTTATTTTTAATGTGTGTCAGTGTGCCTATAGTAAAAAATGACAATAAAGGATATCTTATCTTATTACTATAACAATTACTACATTCTGTTACTATTTCATTAGTATTACACAATTTCCTCTATGCCATATTCTATAGTATAACTATTCTATTATAATTACTAAATTACAGACTATTGTATTACAATTATACAGCAGTTTTTTTCTTCTTACAAGTATTGTTCTGCCTTTATTTCTCTCTTTGGGATTTCTTCTACTTTTTTCTTTTCCATTAATGGACAACTCCTAGTGCACTTGCAACTTTCCATATCATGATTTCACACTTGTACTCTTCCTTGCTCTGTCTCCAGAATGCAGGACAAGAAGCAATGGATGAAAATTAATCAAGGAAACTAGATTAAGGACTAGAACTAAGGTGAAATTTCCTGACAGAATAATTAATCAGTGGAACAACTTGCCTCCAGAAGTTGTAAATGTCCCAACACTGGAAGTTTTTAAGAAGAGATTGGACAAACATTTGTCTGAAATGGTATAGGGTTTCCTATCTGAGCAGGGTGTTGGACTAGAAGACCTCCAAAGTTCCTTCCAACTCTGTTATTCTATACATCTTTTCTTCTGGACTATCCATTCCCTCTGAAGGGAAAACATTTTTTTTTTATTCAGCTGCTTTACTTCATTTGCTGGTAGATGCAGAGTCTCAAAACACACAGTTCCCACACCTGTTTCAATTTTGCAGCTTTATTGGCAATTCTGCCTTGCTGACACTGGGGAAAATCGGAGGGAAAAAGGCAGTGCAGCTACCTGATTTTTTTTTTCTAAGCAGCCTGTTCTTCCACAGATACTTTATTGCTTAAGTACAGCTAGTCCTTAACTTATGCAACCATTCATTTAGTGACCATTCAAGTTACAACAGCAATTTGCAACCTTCCTAACTGGTTTCTGACAAGCAAGGTCAATGGAGAAAGCCAGATTTGTTTAACACGATTCACTTAATAACTGTAGCAAAAAAGTCCTAACATGAGGCATAACTCACTTAACAACTGCCTTGCTTAACAATGGCATTTTTTGACTCAGCTGTTGTAAATCAAGGACTACCTGTACTCAGTATTTTTCTTATGTTCAGAAGCAAAACTTCTAAAAACGGCTACTTTTGAATTCAAATCTCTGATAGTATAAAGATTAGGTCAAGAGCTCACAACGTAGAGGGATCAGATGATGGCTAACTTCAGGAATTTGGAACCATGTTGTGTATGCAAAGTGGCAGCTAGAGGGCCTTATCTATTTGCAAAAGGATTACTACTTGGGCAAAATCAGTTACAACACATAAATATGGCAACAGCAGACCAAATTGTTATTAAACATGCTCAAGCTGCATGGGGTAAAAAAAAATATGTTGACTCAGAAACATGGAAGAAAAACAATTAAAGCCTGGAACAGAGACATATAGCAATCTTTGATTGGTATGAATTGCAGCAGGTAGAAATTCTGCATTATGTGTGACTTTTTCTGAGCAGAAAAATTAACCTCGCCATATTGGTGAAGTGTTGTAACTGAATCTACGTGGAGAGAAGTATGCAGTGAGATACCTCAAGGCTCTGTTTTAGGCCCATTACTTTTCAACATCTTCATCAATGATTTGGATGAGGGGATTGATGGGGAAATCGTCAAATTTGCAGATGATACCAAGCTGGCCAGAATAGCCAACACTCCAGAAGATAGGCTTAAGATACAGAAGGATCATGACAGACTTGAACATTGGCACTATCTAACAAAATAAAATTCAGTGGTAAAAAAAGTAAGGTTCTACATTTAGGCAAGAAAAAACAAATGCACAGGTATAGCATAGGTCATACCTGGTTCAATAGTAGTAATTGTGGGAGGGATCTTGAAGTCCTACTGAACAATCACTTAAATATGAGCCAGCATTGTGCTGCAGCTACCAAAAAGCCAACACAGTGCTAGGCTGCATTAACAGAGGGATAGAATCAAGATCATGTGAAGTGTTAATACCACTTTATAAGACCACACTTGGAATAATGCATCCAATTTTGGACACCACGATGTAAAAAAGATGTTGAGACTCAAGAAAGAGTGCTGAGAAGAGCAACAAAGATGATTAGGGGACTGGAGGCTAAAATATATAAAGAATGATTGCTGTATAGTTTCATGTAAAGAAGGACTAGGGCAGGGGTGTCAAACTGCCAGCCCAAGGGCCAGACATGTCACAAGGAAACTGCGCCCACCTCATTGCCAGCAATGGGGGGAAAGCTCCAATACATCATGCGACATCATGTGATGTCGCGAGTTTGACATGTCTGGACTAGGGGGTGACATGATAGCAGTGTCCCAACATCTCAGGGATTGCCACAAAGAAGAGGGAATCAAACTATTCTCCAAAGCACCTGAAGGCAAGACAAGAAGCAATGGATGGAAACTAATCAAGGAGAGAAGCAACCTAGAACTAAGGAGAAATTTCCTGATAGTTAGAACAATTGATCAGTGGAACAGCTTGCCTCCAGAAGTTGTGAATGCTCTAGCACTGGAAGTTTTAAAGAAGAGATCAGACAACCATTTGTCTGAAATGGTATAGGGTTTCCTGTCTGAGCAGGGGACTGGACTAGAAGACTTCCAAGGTCCCTTCCAACTCTATTATTTTGAATGTGGGATTGAGCTCCTTGCAAAATAGATACTTAAAGTTGTGTCTGGTGTGAAGGCTGACACTTCTTTCTTTCTTTTTATTTTTTGGAACGCTTCACGAATTTGTGTGTCATGCTAATTAGCCATGCTAATCTTCTCTGTATCGTTCCAATTTTAGTATATGTGCTGCAGAAGGCTGACATTTCTAATGAGAACTTAATACTAGGAAATAAGTATTGATTAATGTTTTCTATAACCTGATTAGATTTAGATTGCTCCAGTGATATATACATTTTAAATTTTATGTCAGCTGAATGCACTACCTACAAACACTTTAGTTAAATCATTTAACTGTAATTTGTTTAAAGTCAAAACATATGTAATCTGTAGTAAAAACTTTTCAAGAAGCTGACAATTATCCCTGAATAATTATCTACAAGGGAGTCTGGATAATTATACTGTTAGGAGGATGATATATTACATTATCATTTAAAATGTCATTATTTGCATGAATATAAAGAATGACACCTTGCTTTCTCCCCCCACAACTTCTTCAGAGCTATGTTGCTGGGGATGACACAACAGCAGTCATCCCTGTCTCTGCTAAAAAAAATAAAGTAACATATTTTACTGTAGCTATCTGAAGGATTAAACTATTCATTACATTTTGTAAAGATTTACAGGTTTAAATATATAACCTACATAATGACATTGTACACCTACGTATCTCCATCTATACATCAGCATTAACCCATGAGGGATAGCCATGTTTTCTGAAAAGTATATCATCTTCAAAAGATAGTTCATTCCTACATAGCCATGCACCATGCATGAATGATACAAAATAATATGGATTTTAAAAAAAATTGTTTTGATAACTTTAAATTCTAGGTTTACACAGGTCCAAAATCATGGGTGAAGAAAAGATTCAGCAACAAGACTGAAGAAACAAGGGCAGCCAAAACAGTTGGCTGTGGCTCTAACATCATAATTTGCCACTGTCGTTGCCAGATCCTGTATATATATACCCTCGTTCCCTGTATCTCCAGTCGAGAAAGTTTTATTCATGAGTGGAAGAAATATAAAATTAAGCACAAAAAGCAGAAACACAGAGACACAGATGCAACACACTGCTTGATATGGCAGATGTGAGTTTTCAAAGTGGAAAAAGGACATGGAACCTACTGCTAAACTGGCCAGTTTGCTCCAGCCATTCTTGTACACAGTTTCTGCGGATGTTATTATCAATCTGCCAGAAGACTGCAAAGGATACAACCATTTTAGATGTTTCCCAAAGATGTCTAGTGCAAAGGTCTATCATCCACTCAAGAGATAATTCTTTGGGTACAAGGGCTTAATCAATGATGTGATTTTTTTCCACATCTACATTTTGGAAGGTCTCTTCCGCTTACTGAACATTTATAATCATTAATATGCAACCCAACAGACAAACAGAATATAATGAATCATTCAAAAAGTATTTGAGTTGTTCTCTCTTATCAACAGAGCAACTGGATTGATTTACTACCTTCAGCAGAAGTTGCTTAATAATCATTACATTCCTCCCTCAACATGTCTCCTTTCAAGCAGTCTAGGCCTGCCACATACATTGCCTTCCCTTAAGAGTTTTTGATTCCATTGTTCCCTGGGCCATTAACTTTCTCCAAAACAGGTAGGAGGCACAGCCTCTTAAAGGAACAGCTTGATTTGACCAAGTTGTATACAAAAATGAAGCAGATGCACAAGATGGCACCAAGATTGCATTTGGAAATTTGGTGTCACTTTCCACTAATAGTTTACCTTCCTCCTTCCTATTCAATAAGCTGGACTAAACTAAGATGGACTAAACCCTTTTCCTGCATCCATCAGATTAGTCTGCCGGTCTTCTACCTGCAATTGCTTGTTTCAGTTAAGATTTATCCAGCATTTTATCAGCTGGTCCTCATTCAAAAAAGAGTTGCCATATCCCAGATGTTCTACATCTGTTCCTCTCTACCCCTTAACAGTTCAGATGGATGGGGAAGAGGAATACTAGGTTGAATATTCTGGATTTTATATGCAGAGGAGTCACTTAAGAATATCTGATTCACTACAATGGCTAAAGATAATGGGAGGGATAGAGGATAGTCACACATCACAACTTGTCTGCCAATTCCCCATAAACCCAGCCCTTCTGAACTGCCTCCAGAGTCACCAGACATTTTACTTCCATCCATGTTGGATCTTCCACGTGATTCCCATACAATGAAAGGGGATATAGTCCTTTCTAGGTCCATGTAGATCTTCTCTGTCATATTCCCCTGGTCAGGTCTACTTGCAAATGAGACAGGGGAAATGTTTCTCTTAAGGAGGGAGTTTCAGGAAAAATAATGAGTCCTGAAAAAAAGAACAAGAAAATTAAATTTAAAATAACCTCTCCTTGATTTTGTTCTTATAAGATAAAACAGAAAGAAACTCTGAAAAAGCTTTCATAATTCAGTTCTTGTCCCTATAACTATAAAGAATATTCCTGGAATCTCAGATGTTTCTGCTGCTTGACCTTGCCTACCTCAAGAAGCTGACACTTTGTTTTACAGAAGAAACTAGACTCCTTCTATGGCCACTGTTGGAGATCAGAATGGGACAATTCTCCACCACTACATCATTGCCACCTTGCAGTGGGACACCACGCCCTGCCAACTTGCTGAGGAGACAACTCGCTGTGAGTCTGGGCCTTCCGCTCTGGTTTCCAAAGCTGGCTTGGCTTAAGGAAGCTGAAAGTTCCTACAAGCCTGCACTACTTCTCTGAAGACTTCCTCGCCTCACTTTCCAGCATTCTCCTGCAGGCTAATTGGGAGTCATTCTTATGGCTGACGGCTCCCAGATAGGGAGAGGGTCAAGCAGCAGAGACAGTGACAGGGCAAGTCAGCCCAGAACAATGATTCTTGGTTAGCCCATCTTCTGCGGGGGGGGGGGGCATTGGAAAGCTAGGCAAGGAAGCCTTTGGAGAAGGAGAAGCAGACGGGCTAGGCAGAAGTCATTGTTGTGGTCTGGATGTTTCACTGGAAAGAGCCTTCATGGCAATGCTGTCAGGAGTGAATCAACCTGTCACTATCCCTGCTTGCCCCTCTTCCCCCCCCCCAAACTGGGAGCTTTCAGAGTCCAGGGCAGCATGCCAAAAGAGAGGCCTTTCTCCCCAAACACAGGCATGATTGGCAGCCTGCGAGTTCAGATGCGAATAAAAGTCCCCAAGCTTGGAGAGACATCTGTGTGTGTGTGTGTGTGTGTGTGTGTGTGTGTGTGTGTATGTGTGTGTGTGTGTGTGTCTTAACCTGCTAAGGAGGGCACTGGGAAGTGAGACAAGGAAATCTTCAGAGAAGGAGTTCAGACTGGCTGGAACTTTTGCCTCCCTTAAACTGGGCCAGTTTTGGAAACCAAAATAGAGGCCCAGGCTCACACCAAGCTATCCCCATGGCAAATTAGCTGGGGTGAGGTGGCAGCAGCAAGTTGTCATAGACCCATTATTAACAGGGTTGGAAAGATGTCAGGTGGTGTACTCTGCATGCTTTCCATGCCTTACTTAGTTTTTAAGATGAATTCCAATTTCCAAACTCTGGGAGCTTTCTAGAGGTAGAAAACAAGCAGTTGTGTGACAGTACACAAAAAGAAGCTATTAGAAATCCAACCAAATAATTTTCCTGTGACCTATTTAAATTCACATCTTTTAAGGGCATCAACCTAGGAATCAGCAGGATCATCTTACCTTCATCCTCTAAAATGATAAAATAATTATACCTGAAGATTTATGTCTTTATTTTCATAATTCTAGACAGGGTAGCATTAGTGTAAAAGGCACCCTATCATTATTCACTTAGCAACATTGGAGCTCAATATGTTTTTAAGACATAGTTACTAGAATTATTTTCAAATTTTCCCAAGATAATGTGAGAATTGCATGCTAATGGGAAAGATGATCTCCAATTTTGTATTGTAGGTAAAATATGGGTTGCACTGGATCTAAATCTAAACTTCCTAATCAGCAGGGTATGGAGATACAGAAATAATCGTTTGCTTTTATTCTGGTTGAGGATGAAATCTAAGAATCAAAAAAGCACTAATCTGGGAAAGTGGTATTTTCTCCAAACATAAATTCCCTTACACATACATTCAGGGATAAGGTTTGATATGTACTGTATATGGGAAATTATTTAGTTTAGGAGAAAGGAGACAAAATGTTGCAAGAAAGGGAATTTTTTATAAATTTACTGAGGCAATTGCATGTCACATTTGTCTAATGATGAAGACAGCTTATTTTATTTAATACTAGACAACTTGTGCCCTGTTAAGCCTAAACAGAATGATTAAAGATGAGCAAAAAAGCAGTGGGAGCAAGAGTAACTTCTCACCCCTGCTGGCTTCCTGACTGTGTTTCCTTGTGGGAATCTGCTAGGGATCATTGGAAATCTTCCCTTCCTTTCCCTTCCCTTCCCAGCAGGGAGGTAATAGCTGCTGCTAAGTGGAGAGGAAGGGAGTGATTGTGGAAAATGGGATAGGACACTGTCACAGACCATTGAAAATGAAGATCATGTGACCACAGCAGCAGCACAGTAGCAACCTGGAGCACTGAAGCCATCACAACTTCACCGAATGTCATTCCCTTAAGATCTTGGATTGTGGGCACATCCTATAAGTCAGGGCTTTTCAACCTTTTCACAGATTGTACCACTTTTAGGACATGACAATATTTGAGTACCACCAGTGCTTAGCAAGATGTCAAAAATTTGATGACTAAAAAAAAGGAGGCGGATTTTGGGTTTTACTGATTGGATTCATTTGTTGTTACAGAAATGGCTAGTTTATAATATTATGGAAAAGTAAAAAGTTGAGGTTCAATGTAAATGCTTCCTTCTACTGCAACAAAGGAAGTATGGTCTTTTTCCCTTCTCCCCCTCACTTCCCCCCTTTTCCTCCTCACTCTGTCCTGCTATTTGCTTTTGTATTTTTGTATTTTATTCTATAATCTAATAAAATATTACAAACTATAGAAAAAAAGAGGAAAAATACTAGTTTTAATTTCTTTGGTGGCTGTTCCTTTGCTGAATCACTTTCCCTTTGCACTGACAAATGTATAATGAATTTATCCATGTTTATTAATATGCACCATTACCAGCTAGCTCATGGGTCTTCAAACTTGGCACTTTTAAGACTTGTGGACTTCAACT